TGTGTGCCAACTTTGGTTCATTTCCATCGTTGGTGGAGTTCAGAATGCTCTTTGATTGTAGGTGAACTATAAATCCCAGCAACAACAACTCCCACCAAACCCTTCCAGTATTTACTGTTGGTCATGGGAGTTCTGTGTGCCAAGTTTGGTTCATTTCCATCATTGGTGGTGTTCAGAATGCTCTTTGATTGTAGGTGAACTATAAATCCCAGCAACTACAACTCCCAAATGTTTAGATTTTCCCCAATGTAGAGTTTGGGGGAAGATGGAGAAGTATACCAAGTTTGGTCCAGACCCAAGTTTGGTTCATTTCCATCATTGGTGGTGTTCAGAATGCTCTTTGATTGTAGGTGAACTATAAATCCCAGCAACTACAACTCCCAAATGTCAAGGTCTATTTTCCCCAAACTCCATCTGTGTTCACATTTGGGCATATTGAGTATTCATGCCAAGTTTGGTCCAGATCCAAGTTTGGTTCATTTCCATCATTGGTGGAGTTCAGAATGCTCTTTGATTGTAGGTGAACTATAAATCCCAGCAACTACAACTCCCAAATGTTGAGATTTTCCCCAATGTAGAGTTTGGGGGAAGATGGAGAAGTATACCAAGTTTGGTCCAGATCCAAGTTTGGTTCATTTCCATCATTGGTGGGGTTCAGAATGCTCTTTGATTGTAGGTGAACTATAAATCCCAGCAACTACAACTCCCAAATGTTGAGATCTATTTTCCCCAATGTAGAGTTTGGGGAAAGATGGAGAAGTATACCATGTTTGGTCCAGACCCAAGTTTGGTTCATTTCCATCATTGGTGGTGTTCAGAATGCTCTTTGATTGTAGGTGAACTATAAATCCCAGCAACTGCAGATCCCAAATGATAAAATCGATCTGTGAATAAGGAGGAGGGAGGGAGCTTCCTTTCTGCCACGCTTGAAACTAGGACTCAGAGCAGTGGGTTCAAATTGAACATGAGGGACTGTACAAGCTGTTCAGCAGTGGAACTCTCTGCCTCAGGAGTCCGGTGGAAGCTTTGCAACAGAGGCAGGTTGGCTATCAGTGCGGAAAGAGCCAATTTTTAATCTACCCAGCTTTCAGTACCTTCTTTCATTTGACTTTGGTTACACACCTCCGGCGTCCGCTGTGGATTTTAGTCCGAACTTTAAACCTCGACAGTTTATGTGCTTTGTGGGTTACTCTTCTTAGATAATGGTCCGATTGTACATGCGTATAATAGACCAAGAGTTGTTTTTCTCTCTTTTTTTTCACACTCTGCCAGGGGACCGCAATGTGTGCGGATGCGGGCAGGTCGCCATGGCAACAGATGCAGCGGGTGCTCTTCGTGATGCTCCGGCGGCGGCCGTTCTGTTCGACAAGGTCTCCCTTCGGTGCCGAATGAGGCCTTTGGGATGGAAGAGAAGCAGGTTCTTTACTGGGTCCGGTTACGTCTGGATTCCCTTCCTGCGGGACCCAAGGCGCCCATTAAAAGCATCGTTCCCAAAGTTGGAAGTCCAAAAGCAAACATTCACCTGGAGGGAAAACAGGTGAGATCAACAGGGATGGAAGCAGAAAATAGACGAGAAGGAAGAAGGGGAAGAGATGGAGGAGAAAAAGGAAGGAAAGGGAGAAGGAGGGGAAGAGATGGAGGAGAAGGAAAGGGAGGGAAGACAAGAAAAAAGGAAGACATGAAGGAGGAGAAGCAAGGAAGAGGAGGGAGGAAGAAAAGAGAAAGATGGAGAAGAAAAGGAAGGGGAAGGAGGAGAAAAAGACGGGAAGAGGTAAAGATGAAGAGATGAAGGAGAAGGAGAAAAGGAAGAGGGGGACGAAACAGAAGAGAAAGATGGAGAAGGAAAGAGAGGGAAGGCATGAAGGAGGAGAAGCAAGGGAAGGGGATGAAGAAAAGAGAAAGATGGAGAAGAAAAGGAAGAGGGGGTGGAGAAAAGGGGGGAAGGGATGAAGGAGGAGAAAAAGGAAGAGGGAAGAAAAAGAAGAGGAAGAGATAAGGAAAGGGAGGAAGACATGAAAAAAGAAGACATGAAGGAGGAGAAGCAAGGGAAGAGGAAGGAGGAAGAAAAGAGGAAGATGGAGAAGAAAAGGAAGAGGGGGTGGAGAAAAGGAAGGGATGAAGGAGGAGAGGTAAAGATGAAGGAGAAAGTGGGAAGAGATGAAGGAGAAGGAGAAAAGGAAGAGGAAGGGATGAAGGAGGAGGAGAGGCAAAGATGAAGGAGGAAGAGATGAAGGAGAAGGAGAAAAGGAAGAGGGGGAAGAAAAAGAAGAGAAAGACGGAGAAGGAAAGGGAGGGAAGACATGAAAAAGGAAGACATGAAGGAGGAGAAGCAACGGAAGAGGAGGGAGGAAGAAAAGAGAAAGATGGAGAAAAAAAGGAAGAGGGGGCTGGAGAAAAAGGAAGGAATGGAGGAGAAAACGATGGGAAGAGAAAGATGGAGAAGGAAAGGAAGAGGGGGCTGGAGAAAAGGAAGGGATGGAGGAAGAGGAGGTAGGAATGTGGATGAAGGAGGAAGTGGGAAGAGATGAAGGAGGAGAAAGGGAAAAGGGGGAAGAAAAAGAAGAGAAAGATGGAGAAGGAAAAGGAGGGAAGACAAGATAAAGGGAAGACACGAAGGCGGAGAAGCAAGGGAAGAGAAGAAGAGAGGGGCAAAGGAAAGGGGAGAACAGGAGGGAGGAAAGAAATGGAGAATGAGAGATGGGAACAAGTGAAAGAGAGAAGAAAGTGAGAGGAGATGGAGAATGAGAGATGGGAATAGGTGAAAGGGAGAAGCAGAAAGGAGGAGAAGGCGAGAGGAGAGGAGGAAGAGAAGAAGGGAGGAAAGGAAGGATGAAGAGAAGAGAAGGAGGGAGGAAGGGGAAGGAAGAGAAAGGGCAAAGGAAAGGGGAGAAAAGGAGAGAGGAGAGAAATGGAGAATGAGAGATGGGAACAAGTGAAAGAGAGAAGAAGGCGAGAGGAGATTGACAAGGAGCGAGGAGAAGAAGGAGTGAAGGGAAGAAGGGAACAAGTGAGAACAAGTGGGAAGGGAGGAGGAGGAGAAAGAGGAAGAAGGGAGCAGAAGGAAGAGGGAAGAGGAGGAAGACAAGATAAAGGGAAGACACGAAGGCGGAGAAGCAAGGGAAGAGAAGAAGAGAGGGGCAAAGGAAAGGGGAGAACAGGAGGGAGGAAAGAAATGGAGAATGAGAGATGGGAACAAGTGAAAGAGAGAAGAAAGTGAGAGGAGATGGAGAATGAGAGATGGGAACAGGTGAAAGGGAGAAGCGGAAAGGAGGAGAAGGCGAGAGGAGATTGACAAGGAGTGAGGAGAAGGAGGGATGAGAGAAAGAGAAAGGGGGAAAGAAGGCCAGGTGAGAGGCTCAGCCATTCCAAGCAATGAAAACAAAACAAAACAAACAAGCAAACAAAACATCACAACTGCTTGGTCCTTGGTCCATACAATGGGGAGATGCTGCCACCTCCAGGCCACTCTGAGCACTGCTTCTCTTAAGTCTCCAACATGGGCATCTCTTTGGGATGCGCAACTCTTCGCTTCTCATTCGTATTTCGCATCAAACTCGTGCATACGGATCGATATTAGAAGCATGCAGGAAAGGCTCTCCTGTGCTGCTCAACAGTTCGACAACCGGTCTTTATTTTCTAGCAAAGCATGGGTCAAACCCCACCTTACAATGACAATATATTATTATATATATATTTATTAGAAATGTGCAAATTTAACCTTGGAAACTTAAAGATTCAGGACGTATTTTCCTCCAACCTCAAAGATTATTTTCTCCATGTATGTATAGATATAAGAGACACATAAGAAAGGTGCAAAATAAGCCCTTGAGACATCTAGTTCGAAGGATCTCCTTCCTCGGAAGATACATAACCTTTCCAGATGCTGTCATACTACAACACCCATCACTCCCAGCCTGAATAAGACGGATGGGAGTTGACTGAGACATCGAGTTTGCAGGAATTCCCTCCTCTATTAGTCTCATTTTTTGCATATCTTTTCCAGATGCAGTTGGACTACAACACCCATCAGTCCCGGCCTTAATAAAACGAATGGGAGTTGCACCAAGACATCGAGTTTGCCGGACTTCCTTCCTCCCTTAGTCTCATTTTAACTTTTCCAGATGCTGTCGGACTACAACTCCCAACAGTCCCAGCCTGAATAAGACAGATGGGAGTTGCAGCAGCAAAACGGGAAGTCTTCCCAATTGAAAGCACATTGAGCCAAGTTTCATAGACTCCACAAACTTCCTGTTGTAGGAAAGTGACCCTGAACCACTTCCTGTTGTAGGAAAGTGACCCTGAACCACTTCCTGTTGTAGGAAAGTGACCCTGAACCACTTCCTGTTGTAGGAAAGTGACCCTGAACCACTTCCTCTTGTAGGAAAATGACCCTGGACCACTTCCTTTTGCAGGAAAGTGACCCTGAACCACTTCCTGTTGTAGAGAAGTGACCCTGGACCACTTCCTGTTGTAAGAAAGTGACCCCAAACCACTTCCTCTTGAAGGAAAGTGACCCAGAACTACTTCCTGTTGTAGGAAAGTGGCTCTGAACCACTTCCTGTTGTAGAAAGTGACCTTGAACCACTTCCTATTGTAGGAAAGTGACCCTGGACCACTTCCTGTTGTAGGAAAGTGACCCTGAAACACTTCCTATTGTAGGAAAGTGACGCTGAACCCCTTCCTGTTGTAGGAAAGTAACCCTGAACCACTTCCTGTAGTAGGAAAGTAACCCTGAACCACTTCCTGTTGTAGGGAAGTGGCTCTGAACCACTTCTTGTTGTAGGAAAGTGGCCCCGAACCACTTCCTGTTGTAGGAAAGTGACCCCAAATCACTTCCTGTTGTAGGATACTGGCTCTGAACCACTCCCTGTTGTAGGAAAGTAACCCCAAATGACTTCCTTTTGTAGGAAAGTGACGCTGAACCACTTCCTGTTGTAGGAAAGTGACCCCGAACCACTTCCTGTTGTAGGAAAGTGACCCCAAATCACTACCTGTTGAAGGAAAGTGACCCTGAACCACTTCCTGCTGTAGGAAAGTGACCCACAATCACTTCCTGTTTTGGTTAAGGCTTCCCCTGTAATGGGAATGGCTAGAAGGAGGAGAAGGTGCCAAGGAGTGTCCCGCGCCCCCTCTTTGGGGCATTAAAGCTTGGGGAGGGCCCCCGGCGGGGCCAAGAGGATGGCAAAGACGTAGAAGAGCCCCAAGAGGAGGTTGAGCTTGGCGGTCCTTTGGGGGATCTTGACGAAGCTCTGGCTGCGGAACTGGCGCTCCAAGGAGAAGGCCATGGGCATGGTGAGCAAGGGGAGCGCCATGCTGATGGTGTAGCGAGTGGCCAGGAGGCAGAAGATCAGGTAGGGCAGGAAGAGGAGGGTGTTGTAGAGCACGTAGGAGAAGGTGGGCCCGATCAGGATGGCCAGCGTGACGATCCCGGCCTGCCGGTCCGACTCCATGTCCCGGGTGTTGTTGCTGTGCAAGATGGCCTCCGTGCTGAGAGCCAAGGGCACCGCGTAGAGCAGCGGAGAGACCGACAAGTAGCCCACCTGCACCGCGTGGGCAAACATCACCGCCAAGGGGCCAAAGGTGATCAGGATGACCAGGTCGCCCAGGGCCACGTACTTGAAGCCGATGCCTGCGGGGGGAGGGGAAGCAGGATCCGGAGGGAGAGGGAATTAGCAGAGGAGGAGGAGAAGAAAGAGGAGAAGCAGAAAAGAAACAAGAATTAGAAGAGGAGGAAAAGATGGGGAAGCAAGGGAAGCAGAGGAAGACGAGCACAAGAACGAAGAGAATGAGGAGGAGGAGGAGAAGCAGTGGCAGGATGAGAGCAAACACAAGGAGGAGGAGGAAAAGAAGAAGTAGGAAGAAGAGAAGAAGCCGAGAGAAGATGGAGAAGATGGAGAAGCAGAGGAAGACGAGCACAAGAACGAAGAGGAGGAGAAGCAGAGGCAGGACGAGCACAAGAACAAAGAGAAGGAGAAGCAGAGGAAGACAAGCACGAGAACAAAGAGAAGGAGAAGGAGGAGAAGCAAAGGCAGGACGAGCACAAAAACATGGAGAAGGAAAAGGAGGAGATGGAGAAGCAGAGGAAATACAGGAATTAGAAGAGGCAGAGATTGAGGAGGAACAGCAGAAGAAGCAGAGGGAGGAGGAGGAAAAGGAGGAGAGGATAAAATGATGGAGAAGCAGAGGAAAGACAAGAATTAGAAGAGGGAAAGATGGAAAAGCAAGGCCAGCAGAGGAAGGCGAGCACAAGAACATGGAGAAGGAAAAGGAGGAGATGGAGAAGCAGGGGAAAGAGAGGAATTAGAAGAGAAGGAGATGGAGAAGGAACAACAGAAGAAGCATAGGGAGAAGGAGAAGTAGGAAGAAGAGAAGAAGCCAAGAGAGGAGGAGGAAAAGATGGAGAAGAACAGGCAGGACGAGAACAAGAATGAGGAGAAGGAAAAGAAGCAGAGGAAACAAAGGAATTAGAAGAAGAAGAGATGGAGGAGGAGGAAAAGATGGAGGAGGAAGAGAGGCGGGAAAGATGGAGAAGGAGGGGCAGAACAAGAATGAGGAAGAGGAGAAGGAGGAAGGGGAGAAGAGGGAGGAGGAGGAAAAGGAGGAGAGGAGGAAAAGATGGAGAAGCAGAGGCAGAATGAGGGCAAACACAAAGAGAAGGATAAGAAGGAAATGTAGGAAGAAGAGAAGAAGCCAAGAGAGATGGAGGAAAAGATGGAGAAGCAGAGGCAAGACGAGCACAAGAACAAAGAGAAGGAAAAGGGGGAGATGGAGAAGCAGAGGAAAGACAGGAATTAGAAGAAGAGGAGATGGAGGAGGGACAGCAAAAGAAGCAGAGGGAGGAGGAGGAAAAGGAGGAGAGGAGGGGAAGATGGAGAAGCAGAGGAAAGACAAGAATTAGGAGGAGATTGTGGAGGAGGAAAATATGGAGTAGATGGAGGAGGAAGAGAGGAGGGAAAGATGGAGAAGTAGATGAGAACAAGAATGAGGAAGAGGAAAAGGAGGAGAAGCAGAGGGAGGAGGAGGAGGAAAAGGAGGAGAGGAGGAAAATATGGAGTAGATGGAGAAGAGAGGAGGGAAAGATGGAGAAGTAGGGGCAGAACAAGAATGAGGAAGAGGAGAAGGAGGTGGAGAAGCAGAGGGAGGAGGAAGAAGAGGAGAGGAAGGAAAGATGGAGAAGCAGAGGCAGGACGAGAGAAAACGCAAAGAGGAGGAAAAGAAGGAGTAGAAATAAGAGAAGAAGCCAAGAGAGGAGGAGGAAAAGATGGAGAAGAAGAGGCAGGATGAGCACAAGAACGAGGAGAAGGAAAAGGAGGAGATGGAGAAGCAGAGGAAAGACAAGAATTAGAAGAGGAGGAAAAGATGGAGAAGCAGAGGCAGGATGAGCACATTATTATTATTGTTATTATTATTATTATTATTATTATTATTATTATTATTATTAGAGGAGGAAAAGATGGAGAGGACGGAGAAGCAGAGGCAGGGCGAGCACAAGTACGAGGAGGAAAAGGAGGATGAAAAGATGGAGAAAAGGCAAAGAAAGAAGAGAAAGGGGAGAACAAGAATGAGGAAAAGGTAGAAAGGAAGAAAAAGGAAGGAAGAAAGGAAGGAAGGAAAGAAAAGAAAAGAAGGAAGGAAAGAAAAAGAAAGAAGAGGAAAAGATGGAGAGGGAGAAGCAGGATGAGAACAAGAACGAGGAGAAAAAGAAAAAGAGGATGAAAAGGAGAATGAGGAAAACATATTTGAGTAAACCATATTTACTTGACTCTAACACTCTCCGTTTTTGACCAAATTCCCCTCCTCTTTCCACGATTCCTCACCTCCGGTGTACAAGAAAGAGCTGGAAAGTCCTCCGAAGTAGATGAGGGCCAAATGCTCCAGCTTGAGGGTGGAGAGGCAGTAGAGGCCGGCGGCGGAGAGGCAGCCCAAGGTGTAAAGGAAGACCCCGAACCTCACGACGTCCTGCGGCTCCAGGATGCGGTCCACCAGCGTCCGGTCGTCGCTCTTCTTGTGGTCGATGCCCTTGGAGAAGTCGTAGTAGGTGTTGACCAGGTTCCCGGCTCCGTGGACGGCCAAGACGGTGACGGCGCTGCCCACCAGCAGGCCGGGGTCCAAGGCGCCCCGAGAGCGGTAGGCCAAGGCACTGCCCAGGGCCACCGGCGTCAAGGAGGCGCTGAAGCTCCACGGGCGCAGCGCCAGAACGTAGGAGGCGCACTTGTGCCGCCAGACCCCGCTCAGGGGGCCCTTCGGGAAGCCCAGAAGAGCCTCCTCTGCCGCTGCCGACGGCTCCTCCGCCTCACCCTCCAAAGGCTCTCCATTGAGGATGCGGACCTTTTCCATCTCCTCGTCCACCTCCATGGTGGGAAGGACTCCTCCTATCAGAAGATGACCTGGAAGGAGAAGGGGACAACGTGAAGGCATCTTGCGGCACACCTTATTACGACTGTTACAGTTGAGTCTCGCTAGGAAAGGTAAAGGTTTCCTCCTGACATTAAGTCCAGTTGTGTTCATCTCCATTTCTGGCGCTCATCTCCATTTCTGGAAGGTGTCCAGAGGAGGGCAACTCAAATGATCAAGGGTCTGGAGAACAAGCCCTATGAGGAGGCGAAAAAGGCCAGTGGGATTTTGGCCTCTATAGCAGTGTTTCTCAACCCCTGAGGGGGTCGCGAGGAGGTGTCGGGGGGGTCACCAAAGACCGTAAGAAAACCAAACTTGGCACACAGAGCCAGCGAGACCCACTCTACATCCCGGTGCGGTTTGGAGGAGGATGTACCATGGACGATGAGACTTGCAATACCATCGCTCACATTCTGAGACCGCTGTTAACCTCATCCAATGACCGATCGGGACCAAACTTGGCACATAGACCTCTCGTGACCCACTTTACGTCCCGGTGCGGTTTGGCCGGCGATGGACTGCGGATTATGGGACTTCCGGTACCTTCGCTCAATTCTCGAGACCACTGCAACCCTCATCCGATCGACGACACAGACTACACTCGGCACACCGAGTCTCCGTGATGCACTCTACATCCTGGTGCGGTTCGGAGGACGATGGGACTTGCAATACCTGCACTCCCTTCCTAAGACCATTACAACTGCCAGCAATGATGGATCGGGACCACAATTCACACAGAGAGCCCCCATGACCCACTCTACATCCTGGTGCGGTTTGGAAGAATTTGGCAGTATTTTCTGATGGTCGTGGGGATTCCATGTGGGAAGTTTGAGCCAATTCTATCGTTGGTGAAGTTCAGAATGTTCTTTCATAGAATCAAAGAGTTGGAAGAGACCTCATGGGCCATCCAGTCCAACCC